TTGGCTAGAGGAAAGGGCAGATACACTCCGACACAACGGCAACAGCAAGCAAGGAAAGATTGGCTAGAGGAAAGGGCAGATACACTCCGACACAATGGCAACAGCAAGCAAGAAAAGATTGGCTAGAGGAAAGGGCAGATACACTCCAGGTGAGGAGCGGGCAGTGCCAGAGAACGCATCTGCTCGTGTCTTGGGTTAGTTTTATTTTTATTTGAGCTGTTTAGAGGGAATTAGCATTATCTGGTTATCTGCCAATAATGGTTTTTCCTCCACCCACACGTCAGGAAGGGGAGTTCTTGACCCCCTTCTAAAAGTAGAATCTCCGGAACTGTCATGGCAGTCATATCCCGAGGAAGCGGGGCTAATGCATATGGAATTCATATGTAAATTAAAGAAAGATCAATGTCCTCTAGAGACGTATAGCAGACGGCTTTGTATGTGTTGGTTGTGCCCTTGTTATTTTTATCATTATGGCTGAAGATCTCAGACTCTGGTGGTGGCGCCAGGTGGGTCTTAGTTCGCCTTTATCTATATCTTGTGAGATGCCAGCAAGATCCTTTTTTGATGTAGTGAGGTCTCCAGCTGTGATTCCCCTGCTTGTGTCCAGATGCCAGTAAGATACTGCATTGATGCAGCAAGGTCTCTAGCTATGATCCCCCGCTCATGTCTACCTAGCTACCTATCTCACGTGGGCTTGGGCTGGGTCTGGCTCTCTCCTGACAAGAGATTCTTACATACTGAGGTATATGGGGTAACTATTCGGGATCAAAACTGATTCGGCTTGACCTAAAAAGCCTGACTTATGGTCTATCAAACATAGATTGTACATCCGCTTAACGTTAAGTAAAGAATGCACTCTCTTAAGAATGCGTACTTCCCCTCCTACAAGTAACGACCTATTGGTAACACCCTATTGGTAATGCCTGGATTAGTCCCTTTCCTGACATCATGGTCGTGCTAATGCTCATCATGGTCATGCTAATTTGCAACTGAACACACCTTTGAAATTTTGGTGAAAACGTATCCTGGATGTGATTAATGTATGTTCTTTGTTCTAAAAAGATATGAGACTGTACTGAAAACCATGCTTCTCTGAAACACTTTCTAAGGCCTTCCCGGGTTATAATCCTCACTCTAGCTCAAGTAAACTCATCTTCTTTCTTTTTTTTTTTTCCCCCCAAAGCCCCAGTAGATAGTTGTATGTCATAGTTGCACATCCTTCTAGTTGCTGTATGTGGGACACGGCCTCAGCATGGCCGGAGAAGCGGTGCGTCGGTGCACGCCCGGGATCCGAACCCGGGCTGCCAGTAATGGAGCGCGTGCACTTAACCGCTAAGCCGCGTGGCCGGCCGTCATCTTATTTCTCTTATCTATAGAATAGTTATTGGTTATTTTGTGTCGACACTCTGGACAGATGTTTTTCATTGTTCAATAGTATTCCCGAGTTACAGGTCCAATTGTTTGCTTTTTAGGGCCAAAGCGATGGTGCCCCATCTGGTCCCCAGGTGGCCTGCATGGCTCTTCCGGTGGCGGACAGCCTGCACTCCGCCATGCACTCCGGGAGCCTCCATGCAGCAGAGGACATGGGCAGGGGCATCCAGGACCCCTGGCCTAGGCAGCCCTCGGGGGGCTGTGGGCACCAGCCCTCTGGACCGCAGAGGCAGCTCCTCCACGTCCTCCCGTGCCCCCGAGGTGATGCTGACCCAGGAGCGCTACCCTGTGCAGCGGCTGCCGTTCTCCACGGTGGCTGAGGAAGACCTGGCTGCCTTTGAACGCATCATCCCCGGCAGGGTCATCACAGACCCGGAGGAGCTGGAGGCTTCAAACGTGGACTGGCTGAGAACCGTCCGAGGTGAGTGAGGGTCTGTTCACGCCTCACGCTTCAGGGGGGTGGGCTTGAGAAATAGCAGTGAGAGGAGGCAAGGACAGCGGTGGATGCTGGGTGGAGGAGCATGGGGGAGCTGTCACGTATGCCTTTCTTATTCCAAAGACAGGCTGTAAGTAGTCCCCCGTTATCCACGGGGGATATGTTCCAAGACCCCCAGTCGATGCCTGAAATTGAGGATAGTACTGAACCTTATACCCAACCAGAAACCGCAATGGTTGATCTGATAACTGAGTCAGCTTCTAGGTGATTAACTGGCAGGTGGTGTGTATACAGTGTGGATCCGCTGGACGAAGGGATGATTCATGTCCTGAGTGGGATGGGGGGGACAGCTTGAGATTTCATCACGATACTCAGAACACTGCGCAATTTAAAACTTATGAATTATTTCTGGAATTTTCCATTTAATATTTTCAGACTGGTTGACCATGGGTAACTGAAATCGTGGAAAGCGAAACCTCGGAGAGGGCACTGCTGTTTTGTGGTGATTTTAAAGTGTTCTGAGAAGAAACTTTATCGAAGTTTATTGGACGTCTGCAAACTAAAAGATGAAACAGTCCCCTGGCTGCTCTGAGGGGTGTGTGTATTAATTACTACTCACTTCCTCTCAGCTCCTGTATCAGGTTCCTGGGGCCACCTTAACAAAGAGCCACAAACTGGGGGACTTAAAACAACAGAAGTTCATTCTCTCTCAGTGCTCCAGGCCAGGAGTCTGAGATCAAGGTGTCGCAGGGCCGTGCTCCCTCTGGAGGCTCCAGGGGAAGATCCTTCCTGCCTCTTCCAGTGCCTGGTGGCTCCGGGCATCTCTTGGCTTGTGACGCCATCTCTCCAATCTCTGCCTCCTTCATCACATGGCCGTCTTCCCTGTGTGTCTCTGCGTCTCAAATCTCCCTCTCCTTTTATGAAGACACCTGTCACTGGATTTAGGGCCCACTCTAATCCAGGACGATCTCATCTCAAGATCCTAAACTTAGTTACGTCTGTAAAGACCTTTTATCCACATAAGGTCACATTCACAGGTTCTGTGGGGGAGGATGTAGACGTCTCTTCTTTGTGAACCCATTCTGCCTACTGCAGATCCGTAGGGCTGCTGGTCTGGCCGCCCCCTCCCTCCCTCTCCTCCCGCCATGCCCGGCCCCGCCGCACACATCCCTGTGCCGGTGTGGGGACTCTCAGCCTCCTAGACCCAGCATTCTCTCTTGAGAACATAGGTTTGTAATGCTCTGTGTCCTCTTCTGAAAGGACTTCAGAGATAATAGAACCTACCTACTCAGGCAATTACAAGCACCAGCTCGATGTTCTTGCTATAATATTAAGCAGAGCTAGAAGACAAGCAATTTACAGCAAAATGACGTATTTAAACCTGTAATGCCAGGTCCTCAGACTGGGCCTGGATCCGTAACATGTGGGACCGAGGAAGAGCAGTCGAGAGGGGTGCACTGTGATGGGACTCGGATGCTGCAAGGGCCGTGCTGTCGGCGGGGAAACTCTGAGGGAGGTTCCAGACCAGAGTGCAGCCTGGAAATACAACCATGTGACAGGGTGCAGAGTCTTGGGCAAGTGGAATTAGGGTGTGGGCTCAGATAATGGGTAGCTCTTCCCTGTGGGGAGGCCGGAGACATTGGAAATCCTCGGCTGTTCTTCACTGCCAGGGGTGCCTGTGAGCATAAGGGCCTCCAGCCCTGCCCTGCCCACTAAGTAAAGACCCCACAGGAGAGCCCACCGCCCAGCACAGGGCCTGCCGGCTCAGGTGTGGTGCCCTTGGAGGCAGGAGAGGGCAATGCCCACCCTGGGCTTGGTGCTGCTGCCTGGGTGGCCTTGGGCAGATGGACCTCAGTTCCCACCCCTGCAAAATGGGGGTGGGGCCCTCACCTCAGAGGTGAGAACCCAGCATACTTGGTGCTCAGGACTTGGGTTCTCCTGCCCCTGGGGCTTCCAGAGTGGGCGGAAGCTGTGACTGGGCAGGGTCTGGCTACCTCCTGGGGGCTCTTGTCTCTGGTCAGCCGCCCTTCCTGGGAGGCCTCGCAGTGGCAGCCTGTCCTGCTGCAAGTCGCCCACCCCATGTCTGTGCCCTGGTGTGGGGGAGCCCTCCTGGCTTCCTGCCACCCTGAGCTTAGGAGGGCAGTGCTAGGGCTCACTCATCTCTGAATTCACAGGACTCAGTGCAGAGCATCTGCTCAGGGAGTGTTGGTCGAGATGACTTGTTGAATTTGTGTCGAAATACCCCTTCAGGTGGCTTTCTTTTTCTTTTTCTTTTTATTGAGGTTATATAAATTTCAGGTGCACATCATTATATTTCGATTTCTGTGTAGAACACATTGTGTTCACCCAAAGTCTAATTGCCACCCGTCGCTGTACACATGTGCCCTTTTACCTCTTTTACCCTTCCTCCTCACCCCTTCACCTCTGGTAACCACCAATCTATTTTCTGTATCTATGTGTCTGTTTGTTTATCTTCCACATATGAGTGAAATCATACGGTATTTGTGTTTCTCTGTCTGACTTATTTCGCTTAGCATAATACCCTCAAGTTCCATCCATTTTATTGCAAATGGCAAGATTTCATCTTTTTTATAGCTGAGTAGTATTCCATTATGTATATATATACACACCACATTTTCTTTATCCATCCATCCATTGATGGGCACTTGAGTTGTTTCCAACTCTTGGCTATAGTGAATAATGCTGCAGTGAACATAGGGATGCATAAATCTCTTTGAATTGTTAATTTGATTTCAAGTTCTTTGGATAGATACCCAGCAGTGGAATAGCTGGATCATATGGTATTTCTATTTTTAATTTTTTGAGAAATCTCCATACTGTTTTCCGTAGTGGCTGCACCAGTTTGCATTCCCACCAGCAGTGTATGAGGGTTCCCTTTTCTCCACATCCTCTCCAACATTTGTTATTTCTTGTCTTGTGAATTATAGCCATTCTGACAGTGCGAGGTGATATCTCATTGTAGTTTTGATTTGCATTTCCTTACTAGTGATGTTGAACATCTTTTCACATGCCTGTTGGCCATCTGGATATCTTCGTTGGAAAAATGTCTGTTCAGATCGTCTGCCCATTTTTTAATTGGGTTGTTAGTTTTTTTGTTGTTGAGATGTATGAGCATGAAGACACTGGCTTTAGGCCAGGTGGGCAGGACCAGGGAGGTGATGGACTGCTGCATAGGGCGTTCTGAGGGAGCAAGCCAGGTCGTGGATGGTGTCTGGGGAGTGAGACCCTCAGCAGGGAGATTCCAGGGGTGGGATGATGCGCAGCTGGTGGGATATGGATGACAGGCCATTGGGAGAGGAGAGGCAGGATCTGAGCCTAGGAGTTGGAGGTCTTATCTGTCGGTTGGCAAGCTCCTGTGGAGGGCCAGATAGTGAAGCCTTAGGCTTGCCGGCCTCATGGTCTCTGTCACAGCCCCTCACCTCTGCCGTGGTTGTGTCAAAGCAGCCACAAACCAAGGGCGTGACTGTGTTTCTGTAAAACTCTACTTATAAAACATGGGCAGCAGGCCGGATTTGGCTGTGGGCCGTGGTTTGCTGACCCTGATGGAGGAGGATACTGAAGTCGCCAGGAGGAGCTGGGAGACGGGGAGCTGGGGGCGCTGGCCGGGTTTGTGCACACTGTGATGAAATGTGTTAGTGTTGGGCAGTCTGGCACCTGGAAAAGGCCGTGGGGCAAGGAGGGCACCTTCTGCACCCCAAGCCCAGTGGCACCCTGAGTGAGGGAGAGGAACTAGCCACCCTTGGAGGGCCACGGGGGAAGCAAAGAGGATGAAACAAGAAGGTCGAGGGAAGGCTCAGAAGCCAAACAGCTGCTCCAGAGTGACGGGGCAGAGTTCCGGGAGTGAGTTGGGCAGACTGTGGCTCTCCTCGAGGCACTTGGAAATATGGGGGATGGGAGTTTCACTTTTTGGTTGTCACAAAAACCAGAGGGTGCTGCTGGCAGGTGGTGGGCAGGATGCAGAGTGTGCAGGCACTGAGGGCAGTCCCCCCACAGAGGCCCGCCCCCCCCGAGCCCCTAGAGGGTGTTCAGAGTGAGGGAAAGCCACTGGCCGTTGGGGGGCGCCCTGACCTGTGCAGGGCCAGCCTTTGTGCCTGTTCCCTTCACTGGCTTGGGCAGTCCCCCGGCTATTTCCTCCAGGCCAGGGCAGTTTTGCAAATTGTCTCTGATGATCTCTCTCCTCTGTGCTATGCTCTCTTTGTGGGCTCCTCTTATTAATATATTAGACTGTTTGGACTGACTTTCTCATTTTCTTATCCTTTCCCCCATTGAAGGTAAACTTCACGATAGTGGAGATCTTGTCTGTTTTTATTCTCTGGGCGAACACTCAGGGTGGACACAGATATTGTTGAGGAACCCCTCAGGGATGGAGTGAAACCAACTCCTGGGAACCTCGCTGGTGACCAGGGTCCCTGGACTGTGCTGTCCTGAAGGCCTAGACGCCAGACAGCCAGCCCCCTGGGCAAACGTTCATTTGATGAAAAGTGAATGAGAAATGGCTCTCAGGGTCAAAAAACTAAGATATAAACTACAGCCTGGTTTCAAAGCTCCACAAAAGTCACTGATGTAGAAGAAACATGTGCTCGACGTTCCTCCTGCCTTCCTGCAGACTCCTCTCTCCCATTTAAAGTACTTTCAGCAAAATCAAAAGCGCAGAAAGAAGCCTGACCGTCTTGGGGAGGCAGTGGTTAGGACGCCGCTGGACTAGCTCAGCGGGGCTCCCACCGGCCATGTCTGGGCATCAAATCACGACAGCAAAGATTGTAACCCAGTGAATAAAGTAAGAGCCTACCAGCTCACACTGACGTGATGCAATAAATAAATACATGAGAGAAAAGGGAAAGCCCCTCCTTACAGTAGAAAGTCAACTAATAAATATAGGCAGACAGATGGATTTAGAAAAGTCGCCATTTGGCAGCCATCCTACAAGTGCTTTAAGCAGATGCTGAAATTCATGGGTGAGTGTGAGGGGCAACAGATGTCTGCATAGTCTCAAGTGTCTCCCATAAAATACGTATTGATTACCAAGGAAACACAGTAACTTGCAGTGGAGAAGCCAGATGGGCGCCCCTAACCACGGGATCAGAGCCACCCTCACCATCACTCTCACTGGTGGCCGTAGGTGCTGGCAGGGCTGCAAGCTGCCCCCAGGGGTCCAGCGCCATCCCGCAGCCTGGTGCCTCCTCCTGCCTCCAGCACGTGCTTTGACACCTTGCTCTTGTCCTTGAGGTTTGGGGCTTACTGATAACCGTGGTTGTGCGGGTCACACACTGAGGAAGGAGAAAGTGCTTGTGAAGGACATTGCTTTTCCGGAGTGTAGCCGGGTCTCCCCACTCCGCGTTGTGTAACAGGCTGACTCTTTTCTGTCGCAGGCTGTAGCAAGGTGCTGCTGAGGCCCCGGACGACAGAAGAGGTGTCTCACATCCTCAGGTAATGTGACAATGCCGAGCTCCCTGCCTACTTCCGTGTCCAGGAGTAGTTTCCTCATGAAGACACAAGAGATGCAGACCCCACGAAGCCGACAATGGGCAGAGATGGGGCCAGGGACACAGGAGGGAAGGTTCTGGCGCTGCGCTCTGAGGCTATCCTGAGCAGGGCTGAGCCCTGGAATCTCGAGATCCCGGGGTGCTGGGGCGAGCCCCACATGGCGAGTGGCTGCAGACTCGTGGCAGACGTCAGGGAAGGAAACAGACCTTTTCTTGAAACATGTGTTCTTTGATTCTTTATATCAATATGCTATCATGTTTATTATAGAAAAATTGGAAAACAGAAAGCCATGAAGGAAAAAAATGCAAAAGCAAACAATAGTTTCACCTCCAAAGATAACCACTGATGACAATTGGGTTTGTTATCTCAGTATCTTTTCTGCAGGGGTGTGTTTTTTAAATGTTACCATGTTGTATCTCTGATGTTGTAGTCTTTTTTTTTTCCCCCATTTGGCAATATCCATGCCCATTTCTGGGTGCTAATAATTCTTCCACACCATTTTTAATGCCTGAAAACTATCCATCCCATGAGTGCTCTGCAATTTATCCGTCTCCTAAAGTTGCACGTTGAGGTTGTCTCTAGTTTTGCATTATTGTAAATAATGCTTCAGAACAGCCTTGGCAGGTGAATTTGGGGCACATGCGCACCGGCCCTCTCAGAATCCCTTGCTGGGGGCTTGCCGCCTCCCAGGGTGGGTTTGTTTGATGCTGGTTGGGGAACTGCCTCCCTGGGGCAGGCGCGCCTGTTCTCCAAATCCTGGCCCGTCGGCGCCCTCGGTTGAGGTCTTTGCAAAGTTGAGCCTGGTTGGGGAAAAGGTGCCACTGATGAATCTGACACATGTCTCAAGGGTGGTGGGTGAGGGAGGGGGATGCAGCCAAGATTAAGGGGTGTGAAGACGTGGGGTGTAGGATGCAGGGAGCCTGAGTGCCCCGAGGAGCTGTGTTTCTTTAGGTGAACAGGAAGGCCTGCAGCTGGCTCTGGGGCTTTCTGTACTTAGAGCAGCGAGCGGCCTCTGAGGGCATTAGAGCCTGGCATGGCGCCTCATCCGTGATCTAGGGAAATGTCAGCCTCCATTACCCTGTGCAGTTTTATGATAGATATTCGGCCTTCTCAGACTCCTATCCCATGTGGGGGCTGAGGAGGCATCCCTGTTGAGGCTGCGGGCAGGAGGCGGCCTGGCTTGGTGGCAGGAGGGGTGGGAACGGGAGTGGGGTTTAGGGCTTCACAGCCAGGCATGGGCCGGAGCGTGTCCCACGGAGGTGGTGGTGTGGGCCTGGGCATGAGGAAGAGGGGCTCTGATGCCCCTCCTGTGCTTGTCCCAGGTACTGTCACGAGAGGAACCTGGCTGTGAACCCGCAGGGGGGCAACACGGGCATGGTGGGGGGCAGCGTCCCTGTCTTCGACGAGATCATCCTGTCCACTGCCCTCATGAACCAGGTCATCAGTTTCCACAGTGTGTCCGGTGAGCCTGCGCTCCCCTTCACTGCCTTCCGCTGGGGTTGGGTGGGGGACCTGGGCCCAGGACGGGAGCAGCTGCGCCCGTGCCCAGCCTCTGGGCGTGTCTGCAGTATTGTTTTGTTGGTCACTTAGGTGGCTTATACTGAGCCCCTTTTCTATGGGCATGTGAGGTACAAATAAGTGTAAAGGGGCTTCCTGCTCAGGGCCCAGCAGTGTCGTGGTCTGCCTCTCGAGCAGGACGTTTGGGGCTGGATCCTTCTCTGGGGTGGGGGCACCTGGGCGCTGTAGGGTGATGAGCAGCGTTCTTGGCTTCTGCCCACTCCATGCCAGCAGCACCCCCAACCAGAAGTGTCTCCAGCTTTGTCATGTGTCCCCTGGGGGCAGAATCACCCCCAGTTGAGGACCACTGCCTTATGGCAGTCCTCTTTGCTGCTCCCTTCCATACGTGTGTGTGAGGTTTTTCTCTTCTCTATTTTTGCCTTATCAATTTTTTTCTTTTTCATGGTAAACCATAGAGGGAATTTCTGGGGGAGGACGGGGGGACACGTTCCTTTTCCTCGGCCTGGTTCTGAGGTGGATGCTCCTTCTGGGTGGCTTACACCTGCAGGGCCCCCGGTGAGTTCTTGCTCGTCCTGAGCCGTGAGCACCATGGTGGCTCTGGTTGCTCGGCAGGGATTCTGGTTTGCCAGGCGGGATGCATCCTGGAGGAGCTGAGCCAGTACGTGGAGGAGCGGGACTTCATCATGCCCCTGGACTTAGGCGCGAAGGGCAGCTGCCACATCGGGGGAAACGTGGCCACCAATGCGGGCGGCCTGCGGTTTCTGCGATATGGCTCTCTGCGCGGGACGGTCCTGGGCCTGGAAGTGGTGAGCTGGGGGTGCCGCTGCTGCCGTGTGTCCGAGCACTGGCCCAGCTTCCTCTGTGTCCGCCGTCCCAGTCTCAGGCAGCCTGGCTCTTCAAGCCCTTTCCCAGTGGTTAGTGTGCTCACGAGGTCTCTGAGTGGGGCCTGTCCTGGCTTGGCTTTGTCAGGTCTACACCGTGTGCCCTGGGAAGGTCTCTTTAGGTTTCATGCCTCCCATGTAAGGACGCATAATTGTATGGACACTTGGGTGCTGCAGTGCACACTGTGGGGACTGCCCTCTTGGGCCCCAGGTGGCACAGGTGCGTGAGGCCACCTGGGCAGGCGGGGACCACATCCCAGGTTGGGGATGCCAGTTCCCAGGATAACAGCCCCTGGCCTTGCTCCAGTCCTGCCATGGACATGGGGGTTGCACATAGCACCTTGCTCAGGGAGGCAGATCTCTGGCTTCACGAGAGACCGATGGTGTGTTTGCTGCCTCCCAATCCATGTGAGGAGCTCTGGGACTCTTCACCAGGAGCAGGTTCCCATGACCCAGTGACATTCCACTGAGAGGGGCTTTGCTTCCAGGTTAGCTGTGTCCACAGAGAGGAGCAAGGTTCCATTAGCCCTTAGTTACACCGTTGCTAGCTGCTCCTCCAGCATCATTTGAGTCCATTTCCCTGAACCCTCACCCACCCCGTGTAGCACACTGCGTGGATTTCTACAGTGCAGAGCCTCTGTCCTGTTTACCCAAGGATGGAATGAACACCAAACCACGCGTTGGACTTCCATCCGCTAAATCGCTAAGTTCCAGTAGCTTTGTTTTCTGGCCAGCTGAGGATTATTTTTATTGCAAGTGGCCTTCCCATATTTATGAGCTCTATCAGTAGCTTCTGACTAAATGCACCAGCAAACAGGACTCGGACAGGCTTACAGAGCAACACCGTGGTGCTTTATGGATGAGCAGTCCAGAGGTGGGTGGGCCCTGGTGCACCTCCACCCCAGGTGTGCCCCGCTCCACCCCCAGGTGTGCATCCTACTTCAGGGCAGCTTCCCTTGAGACCGGGGCCCTGAGCTTCCTGGTTGTTTGGTGGGGGTGGATCTTCACTCCAACCAGAGAAGACAAATCCTTCCTTCAGCCTGACTGGGCAACTTCGGCCTGGTGCCACCCTGGGCCCCCTGCGTTCCTGGACCAAACTGGGCTGGAGTGGGGGGCTCGTGACTGGCTTGGCTTTCTCAGAGTGCGCTGGGCTAGGTCTGCCTCCCCTCAGTGTGGTGGCCAGAGGAGGGGGGCATCTATTAGGACGGTTGGCTGGTGAGTAAATGCCTCTTTTCTCTTCTCCCTTGCTAGGTGCTTGCTGATGGCAGCGTCCTGAACTGCCTAACCTCCCTGCGGAAGGACAACACAGGCTATGACCTGAAGCAGCTCTTCATCGGGTCGGAGGGCACCCTGGGGGTCATTACTGCCGTGTCCATCTTTTGTCCGCCCAAGCCAAGGGCTGTGAATGTGGCCTTCCTCGGTAGGTGGGCCATCAGGGCTGAGCACCCACCGCTCTGACTGAGACTGCTCAGAGCTGGTTCTCGTAGCTGCCCTGTCATTGGTGCGACGGGGGATGGAAGGGGCCCTCACAGGACGGTCGTTCCCATTCCTCCTGGCTTCTCTCTGACTCCGAAGGAATCCGGGACCCGGCCTGGTTGGTGTCCACAGAGTGGGTCTGGAGTCAAGCCTTACCATCTCTGGGCAGAACACACTTTATTCTGTAACAAAACTGGGGCTTTGCCCATCTCTTTTACCCCATTTTGTTCATTATTTCAGTAGCTTATACTATAAGATTCTGAGGGAAATGGTGTTATTTGGCGTAAGATCAATGATACCATTCTGTTCCTTACCGTGGGGTAATTAATACACTCCTATAAGAACACCCACCATCCCTCCGTCTCGCCTGGGTCACCCGTTTTTCCATCGTAAGCGGTCGGATTGGCGTTGCTGTTTTAAAGGGGGACTTAGGTGGGTCTCTGGGCAAGGCTGTGAGTTTGGCATGATGGGGACCCTGCTGTGTCTTTGTTGTGCGTGTGCCTGAGGTGCTGTGTGCTGTTGCAGGTTGTCCAGGCTTTGCTGAGGTTCTGCAGACTTTCAGTACCTGCAAGGGGATGCTAGGTGAGATCCTGTCAGCCTTTGAGTTCATGGATGCCGAATGCATGCAGCTGGTGGGGCACCACCTCGGTCTCGCCAGCCCGGTGCAAGGTACTGACCCCTACCTGGCTGGGCAGCGCCTGCCCTTCCTTTTATGCCATTTTATGTATGGGATAGCTCAGAGACTATCAAGCCTTAGTCCCGTCCATAACGCAGGAGGCAGTAAGAGGGATGTTGGTATCTCCGTAGTTCTGGTGTTGCCATCATTGGATGAGCACGGAATTCTGTTTACATTCATTTTAAATGTGCCCCTGGAGTTAGTTCAGTTGAATGCTGTTGGGGGTACCATAGCTCTGGGGTCTTTGGAACAACCAAAATGCACTCATCAGAAATGCCTTCCTGTCTTCTCAACTAGGAGAAGTGTCATTCCGTGTAGTGCGCACCCTTGGGTCTCAGCAAGTTCTCTCTGATTTAGCAAATAAGTTCAATGCATCCAACTCTCTTAGTCACTGCTGGGTGTAAATTGATGCCATGTTTTGGAAAGCCGTTTGACATTTTGAACCTAGAGGTTAAAAAAGGTTCAGATCTTGGTGTTTTCACTTCTGAGATCTCCCCTAAAGAAATGATCATTGTCTCAGCTCAGGCTGCCCTAACAGAACACCGCACACTGGGGGCTTAAACAAAAGACATTTATTTCTCAGTTCTGGAGGCTGGCAATCCAAGATCAACGTGCCAGCGGTGTTGGTTTCTGGTGAGGGCTGGCTTCCTGGTTGCAGGCGGCCACCTCCTCCCTGCATCCTCATGTGGCTTCTCCTCTGTGTGTAGGGAGAGATCTCCGGTGTCTCTCCCTCTTCCTACGGAGGGCACTAGCCCTATAAGATCCAGGCCCCACCCTATGGCCTCATTTAACCTTGATTACCTCCCCAAAGGCCGCATCTCCAAACACAGTCACGTTGGGGGTGGGTTAGGGCTTCACCATGGGAATTTGGGGGGACACACAATTTAGTCCATAACAATCATAAATATGGAAAGGTCTTTATGCTCTAAGTCTTTAGTGAGGAGCTACTTTTAGTATAATAAAACAGGAAGCAGGGCCAGCCCGGTGGCGTAGTGGTTAAGTGTGCTCCCTCCGCTGCGGCGGCCCGGGGTTCGCAGGTTTGGATCCCGGGTGCTCACTGACGCACCGCTTGTCAAGCCATGCCGTGGCAGGTGTCCCACATATAATGTAGAGGAAGATGAGCACAGATGTTAGCCCAGGGCCAATCTTCCTCAGCAAAAAGAGGAGGATTGGCAACAGATGTTAGCTCAGGGCTAATCTTCCTCACATACACACAAAAAAAGGCAGGGAAGAAACAAAACAAAACAGGAAACAACCCAAATGTCCAGTGGAAAAGAAATAAGACAGGTTATAACCATTGGAAAGATAGAGGGTCCCTGGGTGGACGGAGGATCCCTGGGTAGATGGAGGGTCCCTGGGTAGACGGAGAGTCCCTGGGTAGATAGAAGGTCCCTCTGTGGATGAAGGGTCCCTGGGTGGACGGAGGGTCCCAGGGCAGAGTGCCATGTGACTGTTGGGCATCACGTGTGAGGAGCTGCCCTTAATGTAATGTGTAGGGCAAAGGAGAGGCCACCCCACGGGCCTCCAGCAGGTTTGCAGTTACGTAAATCTCCTGGACCGTTAGAAGAAAGACAGGAAGGAACTATGTTAAAATAGTAACAGTGGCTATATTTGGTGAGCTGGGAGATTTTTTTAAATTTCTACTTTTCTTTGTTTTCCAAATCTCCTTTTATAAGCATGTTTTACTTTTATAATGGGGAAAAAGAGCCAAAAAAATTAAAAAACTCCCAGTGTTCTTTGTGACCTATGATAAATTTAAGAGCAGAATTTCCATTTCAGCATGGAAAAATGCCAATATCTGAAAAACATCCTCTTTGTCGTAGGATGAACTTGTAGCATTTTTCTGGAATGAACTTTAACATGGCGCTGAAAGAAAGAGCAGTGCCGTTCAGTGAGTTTTCATAGTGGCCTCAAAAAAACAAGCTTAAAATTTTCCTAAGTTAGTAATCCACATTTTTTTAAACTTCAAAAAGAGAGATACTTGTGGTAGAACGCACGCACTTTTTGCACGTAGCACGGCAGCGTTTGTGGTCGTCATGGGTTCTCGAGGGCCTGGCGGCCTCTCCTCAGCCTGTGGACTCCTTGCCACCTGTGGTTTGGCCCCTTGCAGCCCCGGCCCGTGCGGCGCCCCCAGCCCATCCAGGCACCAACGTGAGGGCTTCACGGTGTCACCCCGGGGTTGTTCCTGTGTTTCCAGGGAGCACGTTTTCTTTTGTAGGGAAAAACCTATTTTTAAACTGTCTGAAATTCCGCCTAAGCGGGGAGCTCCTGCTCTGCGGCTGCCTGGGGCCCCTCTCAGCACGAGAGCCATCAGAGAGATTACAGCCGCGCTGACCCAGAGCCGCGCTGACTCTTGCCCGACCACCTCTGCCTCTGTTCATCTTGCTTTCTGCCCCTTCCAGAAAGCCCATTCTATGTCCTGATCGAGACCTCGGGCTCCAGAGCGGGGCATGATGCCGAGAAGCTAACCAGCTTCCTGGAGCAGGTGCTGGGCTCTGGCCTGGTGACCGACGGGACGCTGGCCACGGATCAGAGGAGAATCAAGGTGCGTGTGCTGCTGGCGCTCCCTCCTTCCTTTCTTCCCACTCCAGCTTATCTGGGGCATCCAGAAGGTGTCATCTGTCCGGCTTAGAGAGTGTGGGTTGTAGCTGAATGTGAGCAGATGTCCCTGCCTTTGATAGAATAACCCCTTTGGGAACAACCTCTTTGGAAACATACTCTTGGAGTCAAGATCATTCTCCGCGTTATTTTATTTTATTTATTTATTTTTTGAGGAAGATTGGCCCTGAGCTAACATCTGCTGAGTCGATTGTGGGGGAGGGATGTTTCCCCAGAGGAAAGGGCATTGATGATGGCACCAGAGAAAATGATTCGGCTTCTGAGGCCAAAGGATGGGGGGGGCCTGGGGCAGTGGGGGCCATTGTGACCATCACGGGGGGGTGGGGCCTGGGGCAGTGGGAACCATCATCACTATCACAGAAAGGGGGCCTGTGGCAGTGGGGAGACATTGTCACCATCACGGTTGAGGGGCCTGCGGCAGTGGGGAGACGTTGTCACCATCACGGTGGGGGGGGTCTGCAGCAATGGGAGCCATCGTCACAATCATGGGAGTCTTCGGGCAGTGGGAGCCATCGGGGGTCCTGGGGCAGTAGGGGTCATCATCCCCCAGCTTCCCCCGTGGTCCCTCGGGCTGCAGCGTGGAGAGTGGCCAGCAGGGGGTGGAAGGTGGCAGGTGGTGGAGACTGGTTCTGGATGTGGGCCCTCCTGGGGGGAGCGGGGTCTCAGGCTCTGACTCTCAATGGTCGGCCTCACTGACTTTCTTTCTCTGCTTTATTGTTAAGCCTTTTTCTTTACAACTATCTTTTATGTTTATTAAATATTACATGTGAGGAGTTACAAAAATCACCTGTACTCAGGCTGTCTGTCAAAGCGCACCCCGTACCCAGCCTGGTTTATCTCCGGTTGATGAGTTCGTACCCGCCCTCACTGCCTGTCCTGGGACTAGTGGGGTGACTGTGTGCACGAGTGACCGGGCTGGGGGGTTCTCGGCTGTGTCCACCGGGGTGTCTTGCACGTCTTGCTCGGTGCCTCACGCAAACACCTGCTGGTGAACGCTGGGTGCACCATCCCCCTCAGGACTGCGTCGTGTGCTCTCTGCCCACCCGCGGGCCCAGGGTGGTTGTGCTTCCTTTCCGTTTCTTCCTAAATACCCCATACCTGTCCCTACAGGAACAAGCCCAGGCCTCAGGGGCCTTAAGAGCAGAGGCTCCCTGTACCGTCCTGGCACATGTTTGTGCCTCCTGGTAGCTGCAGCTCTGTTCTGCGTGTCTTCTAATCCAGGGACCTAGGCCTGAGCAGCCCATTTTGATCATCCATTCTCTTGGCAGAAAGAGCAGGAGCTGGAGGGAACCCCAGTGCTGCCCTGGGTCTCTGCTTGGAGCCAGAAGACGGTTCTTCTGCTCAAAGCTCATCTGCCAGAGCAAGTCTCGTGAGCCGGCCTAGGGGACCCCCTCCAGTAGAAGGAGGGGTTGCTGCTCCTCTTAGGGGGAGGGCGGCAATAATGTGGCCTGCCACACATACCCACCCTGGCCCTGGCCCGGTGTGGACTGCTGGCTCCATAGTGGCGTTCAAATGTTGGTGCCCAGAGGCCCTGCTTGGTGACACAGGAGGGAGCTGGGTTGGCTTCCCTCCCAGGTGGGCAGTGGGACCCGGGAGATGTCCAGGAGGGGAGTTGGGCGGTGCCCAGATGGGCAGGGGGGCTGGGGGGATGTCCCTGAAGGAGGCATTTGAGCAAAGATGGGATGGAGGTGGGAATGAGCCTTCAGAGTCCCTGTGGAGGAGCACAAAGGCCTGAGGGGCAGGTGATAACCGAACCAAGTAGGCTTGCCTCCTGGTGAGTTAAATAAGACTCTACACCAGTGGAAGTTGTCTCACAAAGTAAAGTGTATTTGCAGCAAATAGGAGGCCATGAGGAATCACTTCCAAAGTCATGGCATCCCCGAACAAAGGGAAGCAGGAACTTTTATTTGGTTGGGGAATGAATATTCAAAAGGGAGAGGCGGATATTCGCTTGCACAGGCTCAGTTGGAGAACATGCTTCTACACAATGAGGCATAAGCTCCTCCTGGAGAGATCTGTGCATTAAAAATAAGGCAAAGGTCATAGGCATAGCTCTTGTGGTGAGGCTTGGTCAGTTTCATGATGGCTGGTAGTTAGATCTCCTTAACACATAAAAGGAAAAGAAACGACTTGGAAACAGTTAATTGCTTCCAAACCCACCTTTGAGTTTCTGGAGGCACCTAGTCGGTGATACAGGTGCCTGCCATGTTCTAGAACATCCCGGAGACAGTGGGGCTGGAGCAGAGTGAGTGAGGGCTGGGCAAGGGGAGGGCAGATCTTGTGGCTGAGGAAGGACGTTATAAACGTAAATGGAGGCAAGAGGAGCCCGCAGGTGGCAGGGGCGGGCAGGGCAGCCCTGCAGTGAGTGAGCTGGGGGGTCCCTGGGGCTCAGGCCAGCTGTGCAGGGACATTGCTGGGTTCTAGGAGTGTGAGGAGGGTCGGGCCAGTAGGAGCTGCTGGTGGCTGGGGTGTGGAGTGACCCATGGGGCTGTAAAAATTAAGAGAATTTGGGAAATCTGGACACTGGCTGTGGGTGTAAGCAATTACTGTGACATTTTGAGAGGTGATCATGGTACTGTGGTTATGTTAGAAAACAAAAAGAAAGAGTCCTCACCTTGTAGAAATTTCGCTGTAACATTTCCTGACATGGTGGGATATGTGGAGGGCGGGAGCCGGGACGAGGTCCAAGGGGACAGTACGCGTGGCACTGTGTTCTCTGCTCACTCGCAAGTGTTCAAATGTCCGCAGTGACAAGTTGACCAACCCAAACAAGTAAACCACAGAGGCGCTTGTCTGGAAGGGCAGCATTGCCGATGACGAGCCCCACTCTGTCCCAGGTGCCCCCCAGCCCCTGCCCCAGCACCCTCTGTCCCTCTCCCTGTGTCCCTCGGGCAGTGCAGGGCCCTCTGGCCCCGTCCCCTCTGTCTGCAGTGCTCTGCCTGCACCCTCCCTGCCCTGACCCCGCCTTCAGTCTGAGCCCCTCGCAGTCACTCCTCCTCATCCCCTGGAGTTACAGGACATGCTCCTGTGTCCTCTGGGATTGCCCTCCCCTTCCGAAAGGGGCCCTTGGTGCTGTCCCGGGGTGAGCCTGTGGCCGCATTCGGGAACCTTGTCCGGCACTGACTCTTAGATCGAGGAACTCGTGCCTGTCACGACACAGAACATTCCTGTCATCCGAGAAAGTTCCTGTGTGACCTTCCTAGTCACCCTGTCCAGTTACCATCACCGTTGCAGCCCCTGGTGGATGCTGCGATTTGTCTCCTCTCCCCAACCCTAGATGCTGTGGGCTCTGCGGGAGAGGATCACCGAGGCGCTGAGCCGGGATGGCTGTGTATACAAGTACGACGTCTCCCTGCCCGTGGAGCGGCTCTATGACCTCGTGAGCGATCTGCGCGCCCGTCTCGGCCCGCAGGCCAAGCACGTGGTGGGCTACGGCCACTTGGGTGAGCAGGGCCTGTGTCCTTGGGCCTGGGCGCTGGGGGCGGGCTTTCGGGGTAACCGTGGGTTGATGTGTGGTCTGTGGGCACGCAGTAGGGCTCCACGCTTTGGACGGTGATAGGGAAAACCTGGATGTTGAGAGGATCCTAATCATCTTCATGGTTCTTTTGGATATTTTAGAAAAGACCGCCATTGCGGTTTCAGCCTGGGAGCTCCTTGGGGTTGTGGTAGGAGGGCACTGACCCTTCACCCCAGTTCTGAGCTCAGCCCCTGCCTCCAGCTGTATCCGCCTTTGCAGCGTTTGGTGAGGACCTCTCACCCCCTTCCCACCTCTTCACATGGAAGGATTTTAACCCCAGTTTCAGATGATTTTGTTTTTTTTGCAGAAAAATCAAGCTTTGTGTTGTAAGTTATCAATTCATGGGAAGGAACTGTTTCATTCCTCTCAGTTTTTGGCAGCCTTTGGGAGGGGGCGTCTAAGAGGCCTGCGCACAAGGGAGGCAAGGTGGGTGGTGCGGGGCATAGCTTTTGGCTTCTTGGCACACGTAATAATGATAAGTATTATTTGTGAAGGGCCTACCTGTCCCAGGCACCACTCTAAACACTGATGTGCAGGGACTTATCTTCACACCGTTTCCGCAGGTGGTGCCGTTGCTTCCCTTTACACGTCTGTAAACAGTCTCAGAGGTTAGGGGACTTGCACAGCCTAGTGAGCGAGTGGTAATCTGGGATATCTGATGTACGACAAACGATAACCTTCATTATTGAAAAACAGAAAAGTCAGCATTGAAAGCAGAGCCCCCAAAGAGAAAGGGGGTGAGTAGGGAGGTGAGCAGGCATCTCACCAGGCTCTGACCTGGCGGGAGAGAGAGTGGGAGGCTGTCCCTGAGGACCAGCAGGACAGGATGGGCTTTTCCGGGCTGCCAGTGGTCAGGGCCACTGTCATCCGCAGGAAAAAGATCACTCACCCAATCCCACATATATCATTCCACGTGGATTAGCGACTTCTCGGTGAAGGGCAATACTTGACACTTTTTGGAAGAAAATACAGAGAACATCTGCATGACCTGAGGTCGGGGAAGGATTTCTTCAACATGACACAAGAGGCATAAAGCATGAAGGAAGAGATTGATAACTGACTACGTTGAAAGTAAATACTTCTGTTGTGAAACAACCTAAATGGGAGTGTTGGCAGGCAAAGCGGGGGACTCAGAAACCTGGTGTTTGGGGAGGAAGCCAGGGGCGGGGCTGGTACGGTTAGGACAGTGTGGGAGGACTGTTAGGGGCAGCTGAGAGCTAGGTGCACGATCCACAGGGTGGACGCCTGAACGGGAGTGGAGGAGGGGCACGGAGGGCCATCTTCACCCAGAGCCGAGGGCACGGGGGCCAAGGCCACCAGCCAGAGCACGCCACTCGAGACCCCAGGCCCCGGCCAGGAGTCTTTCTCCTTGAGGGGGCACTGACTCCATCCTCTCTCTGCCACGGACAACGCAAACCATCAGGGTCGGACATGGAGGGGGTGCTGTCTCTTTCTAAAATCAAGTGCATGTTGAATTTGTCGAATGCTTTCTCTGCACCAGATGACCGGTGCTTGCCTTTCTTTAGTCAGTCAGTGAGCCAAATTACACCAGACCCTCTGGAGGCAAGTGAGTCTGTATTCTTGGGATAAGCCCAGCTTGGCCACGATCCTTTTTGTGTCCTGTTCGATCCCATTTATTTATATTCCGTGTGGGATTTTCTCAGGTATCTTCATGGGTGATATTGTCCTGTAAGTGTTTTTTCTTCCATCCATGCTGGATGTTGGTGTCATAATCATAGGATGGTTTGGGGACAGTCACTCTTACTGGTCTCTGGAAGAGTCTGGGTAAGGTTGGAGTTATCTCCTCCTTGAATGTTTACCAGAACTTGCCAATGAAGATATTTGGGCCTGAAGTTTTTTTTTATCTTTTTTGGGGGGGGATTTGACTACAGCTTGATCTCATCAAAAGCACCAGACTATTCTAGCTTTCCTTTTCTTCTGAATTGTTTTTTTTTTTTTTTAAAGATTTTATTTATTTATTTTTTTCCCTCCAAAGCCCCAGTAGATTGTTGTACATCATAGTTGCACATCCTTCTAGTTGCTGTATGTGGGACGCAGCCTCAGCATGGCCGGAGAAGCGGTGCGTCGGTGCGCGCCCGGGATCCGAACCCAGGCCGTCAGCAGCGGAGCGCGCGCACCTAACCGCTAAGCCACGGGGCCGGCCCTGAATTGGTTTTGATAATTTTTCTTTTCAAGGAATTTGTCCATTTCTTCTAAAATTTTGTATGTCTTGGTATAAAGCTGTTCCTAATACTCTTTTGTTCCCTTGTATGGTGTCCAGCATTTGTGGGTGCCCCTGTTTCTTTCCTGATCTTTGTTTCTTGTCTCTTTTTCTCTTGTCTAGGTTTTCAGGTGTTTATCAGCTTTATAATCTCCCCAAAGAATCAGCACTGGGCTTTGTTGATCCTTCCTGTCTCGTGTTGTTTTCTATTTCATTCTTTCCTGCTATTCCCTTTACTGCTTTCTGTCCTTCTGCATTTTTAGGTTCATTCTGTTATTTTTATAACTTTATGAATTAAGTACTAGTTCAATGATTTTCAGCATTTCTTTTTTAAGTCTTTAAATTTCCCTCCATGTTCCACTTACACGGATCTCACAGGTGGTTGTGTCACATAGTGTCTGTTTGTCACCTTGTCAGACTCAGCACATGGTCTTGGAGGTGCCCCAGTGAGGACAGTGCTGTCGCTCAGGTTGCACTTGGCTCAGGAATCTGCTTGTCATTGCAAACAAGACGCTCCTTCCGGGCCGTGTGGACTCAGCCGCGACGGGTGCCTTTGGGTGCGTCTGATGCTTTGAGCCCATGTGTGAGGACTCCGGTGTCCTGGCCTCTCGGTGCTGCCAGCCCTCTTCTGTCCCCCCTGCCCTTTTCAGTTTCAGTGCCTTCCTTCTGAGCAGCCCTGACCCAGCCCCAGTCTCAGAGGCTGGATGGAGGGCGGAGGGTGACTCCAGTCAGAGGAGCCTGTGGGTTTCTTGTCCAGCTTGTGAGGTCACTACGGGCGTCTCGTCTCAATAGCCAGACGTGCCTGTGCGTTTGTGTTGAAGTCCTATGAGGTTTTTGTTTTTGTTTTTGTTTTTGTTTTTGTTTTTGTGAGGAAGATCGGCCCTGAGCTAACATCTGCCAATCCTCCTCTTTTTTTGCTGAGGAATACTGGCCCTGGGCTAACATCTGTGCCCATCTTCCTCCACTTTATATGGGACGGCGCCACAGCATGGCCTGACAAGCGGTGCATTGATGCGCGCCCGGGATCCGAACCTATGCACCCCGGGCCACCGCAGCGGAGGGTCCACGCTTAACCACTTGTGCCACCAGGCTGGCCCCAAAGTCCTGTGAGTTTTGGTCGTACTTTTGAAACCGCGGGCCCTCCAGGACCAGTTCAGCTGACCCCATCTCTTATTAACGGAGTGATTAAGAATTGCCTTTCAGAAAATCTGCATAGTCATGTAGCCTGGGCATGCGCAGAAGGAGAAATTGTCACCTGAAATGACCGTGGAACCAAAGCTCCTCCCCACAGAACCCAATGACTGGGACATGACCGGAACTTAAAAGTCAGACTCTCAGAAGCGGGGGTTCCCTCATTCAGGAAGATCCAGTGTTCAGATTCCGTCCCCACCTCGTTATAAGTGTTTAGAACCTCATCATAAACGTTTAGACCCTGTCATAAATGTTTAGACCCTGTCATAAATGTTTAGACCCTGTCGTAAATGTTTAGAACCTTGCCATAAATGCTTGAAGCACACCAGTCAAAACCTGTCCCACCAGAGATTCCGAGTGCCAGCCTGTTCTCCCTAACCTCTTAAATTTCACCCCAAATCCTGAATCGGGGAGACAGATCTGAGGGCACATGCCCCTTGTCTCCCTGCAGATCGATCTTGCAGAATAGAGCTGATCCCTTTTCCCAAAGGCTGATGCCGTCATTAATTGGCTTGTTTATGTGTATCGGGCAAGAGAATCCCCATTTTGCTTGGTAGCACTTTAATTATCCTTCAGTTCTAAATGTTTTCCCATTTCCATTGTCGCGTCTTTGCCCCATGAGTTAGGCAGAAATGTGATTTTAAATTTCCAAACATATGGGAGTTTTCTAGCTATTTTTAAAATTATTGACCTGTTGTTAATTGCCCCAAAGCCAGAGAACTGGGTCTTTATCAGGTTGTTGAAACTCGGTCACTGGCCCAGCGTCTGGTCCGTTTTCATAACTGTGTAATGAGTACTTGAAGAGGATGTGCTCTCTCCACTTGGAGCCAGTGTTTCCACAGATCTGATAAAATATGTACATTGTGTGGTTTAATCTTCTCCATCCTGCTTGGCTGCCACTCCTGTGGGAGGTGTCAGAAACCCCTTGCTGTGACAGTAGACTGATCTGTTTCCGCGTGTAGCTCTGTCAGTGCTGAAGCTGGGACGCTAGAGCTGTCCTTTCATTCTGGTCAGCTGCTCTTTTGTCACGATGGACTCGCTCTTCTCACCTCCCGAATTGCTTTGTGCCCTGTGGCCTGTTAGGTTTGATAGTCTGTGGTAACAAGTTTTCTTTTATTTAGGGTTTGCCTGACATACTGTTTTCTTCTTGTTACTTTTGACCGTTTTCTGTCCTAAGATCTAGACATGTCTCTCGGAGACAGTGGAGAACTGGGGTTTCTCTTTCATTCAATTTGCCATTGACATTTGTAAAGACAGTCATTGTCTCTAAACTGGAGCATTTCGTTTCTTGATGTAGGGGAGGGGAAGCTTAACTTTTTCCTCTACCCTCCTAGGGTCTTGGCTGAGGCCCTATGAGACTGACAAAAGACAGATTAGCGAGAAAAAAACAGGCAAGTCCATGCACTCGTGCATCATACAAGGATCAGTAAGTCAGAGGGGTGTTGGAACTTGGGCTTATGGAGCATGTTAGCAAAGGACAGAACATCGTAGAGAGTCACAGACAAAGGGAGGGACTGAGCTTCTAGGGACGAACTGTGGGAAGGTAAATAAACCAGTGGAGAAACTACCGGATGAGCAGGCTCGTGACGTGGAGTCCCCTGGGGTGTCCAGGCCAATCAGGGTCCAGAGGTGTGTCTGGTGATGATCTCTGTCCCGGGTAGGGAGGGGACGGGGCCCCTTTACACATATGTGCTACTCTTGGGAGAACAGGGGGAGGGCAGAGAGTTTTTCTTGCATCTGCTTCTCCGGGTGCCTTCAGTTCAACATGATCCTGCCACAGTAACCTGTTTTGGAGTGGCATGTCCCGCTCCCCTCGTTCACATCTGCTGTGACTACTCAGTTCCTTGGATTTATTTATTTCATTCTCCTTTGGGCCTTGTGTTTGTCCCTGATTTCCTCTCTATTTCTTTTTCTCTGTTACCTTCTTCTGGTTGATATTTTTTCTCATTTATGCTTTTTCCGTTTACTAATTAGGGAATTGTAAATGGCTGTTTACTTGCTATGGCTGTTCTTTTGGTGGTAGCCCTAGAATTGTAGCATGCATTCTTAGCTTATCAGGGTTTGAAGTTAATCAGTATCATTATCCTTCTTCTAAACAATGTGTGATGGTTAATTTGATGTGTCACCTTGGCTAGGCTATGTGCCTGGATGTTGTTTTGTTTTTTTTCAGGAAGCTTGGCCCTGCGCTAACATCTGTTGCCAATCTTCCTCTTTTTTCTTTTTTTTTCCTCCCCAAAGCCCCAATAGATAGTTGTGTATCATAGTTGTAGCTCTTCTATATGGGATGCCACCTCAGCATGGCTTGATGAGTGGTGAGTAGGTCTGTGCCCAGGATCCGAACTGGTAAACCTCAGGCCGCTGAAGCGGAAGGTGTGAACTTTATCGCTACGCCACTGGGCTGGCCCCGTGCCTGGATGTTTGGTCAAACACCAGTCTAGATGTTGCTGTGAAGGTATTTTTTAGATGTGATTAACATTTAAATCAGTGGTCTTTGAGTAAAGCAGATTTCCCTTCGTGTGTGGGTGGGCCTCATCCAATCAGTTGAAGGCCTTAAGAGAAAAAAGACTAAGGCCTCCAGAGCAAGAAGGGATTCTGACTCCAGATGGCCTTTGGACTCGAGCTGCAACATCACCTCTTCTCTGGGTTTCCAGCCTGCTGGTCTACCCTGCAGATTTTAGACTTGCCAGCCCCCACAATGTGAGCCAGTTCCTTAAAATCAATCTCTCTCCCTCTCTGTCCTTCCCTGTCCCTCTCTGTCTCCATCTTTCTCTCCCTACCTCCCTCTCTACCTGCCCCTTCTCCCTCTCTTCCTTTCTCTCTTTCTGTCTCTCCTCTCTCTCCTTCTCCCTCTCCCTCTCTCTCCCTTTCCCTCTCTTTCTCTCTCTCTCTCCCCTCCTTTCCCTCTCTCTCTCCATCTCCCTCCCTCTCTCTCTCCATCTCCCTCTCCCTCATTCTCCCTCTCCCTGCCTCTGTGTATAGCTGCACACATGCTATTGGTTCTGTCTCTGCAGGGTCCTGACTGGTATGTGGTGCAGGGCCTGAGGACCCTGTGGCTTTTATTGCCGTCTTCCCCTCCTGGTTCCGCACTCTTGTTTGGAGTACGTTCACTTCTCTCTTGTTTGACCCTGTGCAGCAGTGTTGCTGTTATTATTCCATGTGGTCAGCAATTGCCCAGATTCACCCACACCTCTAGTCCTTCTTTTGTCTGGTGTCAGCCTCTGCCTGAACCTCAGTCTTTAGAACTTCCTCTAGTGTGGGAGAGTAGGTGACAGAACATCGCACATTTTGTTTGCCTGAAAGTGCATTAATTTTGTTCTTAAAATGTTTTTTCCCAGTGGATTTCAGCAATTCTGGGTTGGCAGTTCTTTTCCCTCTGCAGCGAGGCTGTTGTACTGCCATCCTCTGACTTCTGTTGTTGATGCAAAGTTGGTTGTCGGTGTGAGTGCTGTTCCTTTGAAGGGGATCTCTTTCTTCTTTCTTGCTGCTGTTCTGACCTTTCCTTTGTCTTCGAGGTTCTTGGGTTTCACTCTGATTTGTCTAGGCCAGTGTTAGTGCGTCCCGCCTGGGGTCTGTTGGGCTTTGGTTTTAGAAATTGCTCTGCTGTTGTCTCTTCAATATTGTTTCTTCTCCGTCCCTTCTCTTCTCTCTTTCTGGAACTTCAGCCAGGGCTCACGTGGTCTCCATGCCTCTTAATCTCTCCCATTGTCCACGTCTCTGATTCTGTGTTGCATTTGGATTATTTTGTTTGCTTTATCTTCCTGTTCATTAATCTCTTTCTTGTGCATGATATGCTGTAGAACCTGTTCATTGAGTTTGACATCGCAGTGACCATGCTTTTGCTTTCTAGAAGATTCATTTGGGTATTTAAAAACTGCCCAGCCTGACCCCTGGGTCCCTGTCTCTCCAGGCGATGGCAACCTGCATCTCAACGTGACGGCCGAGGCCTTCAGTGCATCGCTGCTGGGCGCCCTAGAGCCCTACGTGTATGAGTGGACGGCTGGGCAGCGGGGCAGTGTCAGCGCCGAGCATGGCCTGGGCTTCAAGAAGAGGGACGTCCTCAGCTACAGCAAGCCGCCTGCAGCCCTGCAGCTCATGCAGCAGCTCAAGGCCCTCCTGGACCCCAAGGGCATCCTGAATCCCTACAAGACACTGCCCGCCCGGGCCTGACGGCGCCTGGTGGGGTCAGTGGGAGATGCAGGAGGGAGCCTGGTCTGGTTTTGGCTTTGTCTATTGGGATGCGCCCGCAGGGCTCGCATGGGCCTGGTGGGCCTCCATTTGGTGGAGCCGGCAGCAGCCGGGGTGACCTGGCCACTTGGTCAGAGGGGCCAGGAGCTGGCTCTGTGGAGCTGGGGGACACGTGGCTCTCAGGCAGCATTCCTCTTGGCTGCTCTGCCTGGGCTCTTGGTGGGCACTCTCCGTCCCTTTGCAGGGCAGGAGCGAGGTCTCCTGCCAGCATGTCCCTGGACAGGAAGAGCAGTTCTGCCCACTCAGAAATAGACCAGGTCATACCCCACTTTGCTGTGGACCCCTGGGGGTCCGCCTTGTGGCTACAGCCCTGAGGGGGGCACGAGTGTTCCTGCCGCTGGGTCCCCCATGCAGTGTGAGCCCCTGTGGGCCCCTGGGCAGAGGTGATGAGCTCCACTGAACAACCTGGAGCACTGTGAGGCTGGTGCATCCGGGGCTGTGACCAGCAGAGCCTGGAGCATCAGATGCTTTATGGATGACTTAGGATCCGTGACTGCTCGTGACATTTGAGCCAGAGTGACAGGCATGCCCTCCACCCTGGAATGTGTCATTTCCTCCGTTTTCTAGAAGGCTGTCAGCTGGCAAGACAGCTGTCAGAGGTTAAGCGTTTGTTTCTTGCACTTGGGGGTTGCTGGGCCGTGTCCACGGAGATCAGCCTTTCTGGTTCCGCTTCTACGACAACTGTCAGGAGTGTGGGGTGAGAAGCCTGACGTGCACAGTGTGGGGTCCTCTAGGGGCAGGTTTACACATAGCCCTCCTGTGTTCCTGCTGCTTCACTGACCCTGACTAGGTGCCTGTTGACCTGTGGCCCCCCGGGGCAGCTGCTGGGGCCGCGGAGATGGTCTGGGGGGTTGGATACATGTTTCCTTTTTCTGTCTGTCATGACCTCCAGTGAAAATGGGGATTAATCACGACACTCTCCTTCCTTCTGTTACTAGAAAAATAATCTCGTAAAAGCCCATAGTGAAGTGCCATGTCCCCTAAGCACGGAACATCGGGGGCAGACAATGACCCCAGGCCTGACTGCCTATCAGAGGTGGCCATGCCCATCCCCAGACCCTGCCCCCGATGGCCACCGTGTCCCCCCACCGCCTGCCATGTCCCCTGTTCCCATCCCCACCGTGTAGCTGGGGGCCCTGTCTCCTCGGGCCTGTGAGGCTTGGTTTCAGGTGGGTTTCCTAAAGTTGTCGGAGGCGGGTTAGTTCATGTTGTGATGTGGAATGAGGGGGCTGTGTGGTTGCAAGATGACTTTCAATAATAGTTTTATGGCTAAGTGAGTTTATTTTGAAGAATTAAAATCATGCACGAGATATTAAAAGGCTTTAAATTTTGAGGCATTTTCTGCTGGAGTAGTGGTGGGGCTTCGAGAAGGTGACTCAGTGCCTGGGGGTCGTAGGGAGCAAATGGCAGGACGAACCTCTGTTTCCCTGGAGGACAAGCTGGCCCCCAAAATGTCAAAATGTGAAGTGGTGCACCATTGGCCCTGCGGTTCAATACGAATCCACCACGGACACGCACACACACGCATGTGCACACACACAGTACACACTGTATACACAGGCACAAGCGTGCACACGCACGTGTGTCCCCAGGACGTGCACAGAGCACTGTCTGCAGGTGGCGTCAGTCATTGGCTGGGTCACGGCCGGCCGTGTGCCTGTTGGAGAAGGAGGTGGATGTGCCTCTGAGACCCCTGGACTGAGGGACAGCAAGAAGAGGGGCTGAGGGGCAACTTGCCACCTGCTTCTGAAAAGGTACATCGACTCCTGGAAGCCAGTTATGCACAGAATGTTCATTGTCTTGAGACCATAGCTGGGATTCACTTTGGGGATGGCACCTAGAGGTTGAGTCAGGGTAGGAAGATGTTATTTTCTACATTTTTTGGATGCTTTGTATTTTTTTTTGCCAAGCACATGTACATTTTAAAAAACCTGAACAAACTAGGCGAGAGCTGACTCAGAGATTCCAGGGGAGCCAGCTGCCGTGGGGCTGGACAAGTGAGGCCAGCATAGGCACAGGCCTTAGGGAGGTGCATCCATGCTCCCCCCCTGTTACCCGGGAGAGTCGCAGCCCAGGCAGAGTCTGCTCTGAGGGCCTATCGGCCCCTGCCCCTGCTGCCCTTGGCTGGCCCCTGAGGCCACCTGCCTGGCCAGGGTCCTCTGGCTGTGGGTTGGCTACACCCTGGTGGAGTGTAGGGTGTTCTCCTCGGGGTGTCTTGGCCCCCGCACTATTTCAGGGCATGGGTCAGGGGCCAATTTCAAGCCCTCAACGCTGACCCAGCAGGGTGGGCATGTCAGGACACCAGAGACTGCCTCCCTAGGCTGAGTGGCCTGCCTCCTCTCTGTCCCCAACTGCCCCCTCCTGCTCTCTCCCAGGATTTAAAACCAGAGCCCCCCTCCCCACTAGTTGCTAGCTGCTTGTGGCCTTGCCTTGTTCTGGGGCCTGACTGGGCTTGGTGCTCTGGGCCTCTCCTGGCCATGGGGCTGCACTGGAACTCCCGTGGGCCCCTCCTGCCTCACTGACCCCACGAGTGTCCCCATGGCCATGGCCACTATTCCATTGTCCCTGGCTGGGTATCCCTGGGCAGCCCTGAGGTGTCCACAGCATAGGATAGACGCTATGGATGTCTGACACGGAGCATGATGGAGCTGCCCGAGGCCCCTGGCAGCTCGTCTCTCTGCCCATCGTCCGTCTTTCTGAGGTCAGCAGGCCGCTCCTGGTGCTCAGCCTCTGACCCTCTGGAAGCCAGGTTTAAGGCCAGTGTTTTTCCAGCTGCTTCTGGGTTGGAGGCTGGGGCTACCCTGGCTGGTGGCCTGGGTCAAGGAAGTGACCGTGGGAGACTGGCCACGGGAGATAGATGTGTGCCAGCATTTAAGACCTCAAGGGCAATGGGCACGATGAAGATGGGGGGCCTCCTGCTCCCCGCTTTGTTCCTGGAGCTCACAGTGGCGAGGGCAAGACAAGCTGTTCTCTCTGCTCTCCCTTTTCATGCGATGGCTCATTCCTCAGTTTTCTGACCTGGGGGCGGAGTCTCTGACCTCCCTACCTAGCTTCTCTTTTGTCGTCTTAAAGTTGATGGTGACTTAGAGTGAGTGAAGCACAGCACAGCCAGGCTAGGTGGAACACGGGACACGAAGCCTGCTGGTGCAAACCCGTGTTCCCGATGATAAAACGTGCACTCACAGAGACAAGAGGACTTGAATTTTCACGTTTCCAGAAACACCTGTCAGAACCTGTTGTGTTTTCCAGAAACACCTGTCAGCATGAAAATCTGCCAAACCCTGTAGTGCACGGGTAGACGACAGGCCTCTCTGAATCTGCAGGTTGATGTGGATGAAAGGTCCGAGGACCTAGACTGTCCAGATGACACCACAGATCCACGGGGTGCAGGCTGTGTGACCTGCTGCCTGCGGGGAGCACACTCCCAGCGGCCACGGGACATCGTGTAGCCTCGAGTGCGCGTCAAAGCCGAGCACATGAATTCTGCACTGTCCAGAACCTCACAGGCCACATGTGCTCGCACAAAATATCACATAAGGAGAAGGGAAGCTGGCGGTCAAGCATGTCAGCAAGACAAAGCCCGTCTTCCAACTCCGAGCCCTGAACCCCGATCCCCAAACCCCATGCCCCGAGCCCCGTGGCGGTGGAGAGAACATCCTCCTCTTGAAGCCAAGCTGCCTCCACGCTGGGCGGGCCTCCTGCCTGGAGGATCCCCGAGTGTGCACGGAGGTTGTGATGGGGGCTATTGTGTATGTATGAGGAAAAGCTTATGATTTTCACCAGAAACCTCTGAGCTGCTGCAGTGTGAGAAGAGGTTATATAAGAGGGTCAGGCGTCCCCCTGGCTGCTCAAGGCTGAGGCCCTCGGAGGTGCCATTTGGAGGGGGTGGCTCTGCCTAGAGGGGCCCCAGGAAGTGGCGAGTAAGGGGGCGGTCGGTCCCTGGGGTGGGAGGAAGCCCCAGCCAGGGGCCGGAGCTGCGGATGAGGCAGATGAGGGAGGGAGGAGTGGGCCTGGTGGTCTCAGCCCAGGAAGCAGGTTGTTGGGGAGTGTGGGGGCAGCAACGAGGCCGCTCTCCTCAACCCCAGCCATGTGTCTAGGGGGATGGGCATCTCCCCCAGAGCTGCGGGCGAGCAGAGTCCTCGGATTCTTGTAGGCTCAGGACTCGGGTTGTCTGACGACTGTGGACCCAGAGGGCTCAGAGGGAGAGTTTAGGAGTTGCGTGGCCCCGCAGGGCCCCCGAGGGCATTGACTAGGATGCTGACCCTAAGGAGAGATGGAGGTGGCAGTTAGTAGTACAATATGCCTAACTGCTGACCTTGACCCCACTGACCAGTGACAGAACTCACCCCTCTTTCTCCACCCTGACCCCCACCTAGCACACTGACCGCTGTCCTGAGCTCATGGCCCCTAGGGTCTCAGGGCCCAGAGGAAGGCAGGCTGAGTCTTGTCCCAGCAAAGGCTCAGGTCCTGGAGGCCACATGGGTGGTGGGGACATGGCCCTGCTCCCCAGGGGTGGTGAGGGGCGTGCTGGCTGGACCCGCCTGGCAGCCTTGCCCTCACGATGGCCCTTGGGGGAGCCCTCCCTGAGCATCGGCCTGATCCTACCGCCTGCCCTTCAGGGACAACTGGAGTGCTGTGAAGTTTCTAGAACAGCTCCTGGTACAGGGGTGCGTGAGGAAGGAGCCTCCTGGGGGCCCTGGGGGACTGGTGCCCAGGGCCTGTCTCTGGGCTTCCCTCCCTGCTGGCCCTGGTCCAGAGGTATGCAAATAGGTGGGACAGTGGGCCAGACGTCAGGTGCTGTCTCTGTTTCCGGGCAAAGTGTACAGGGCCCAGAGCCACCTTCTGGGTCCTGTGACTGTGAGCCCTCGGGACAGCGAGGTAGATGGATCCCAGACGGGTCCGAGGGTGACTAGTGGGAGGGGTGGAACCCGTTTGACCTGGCCACTCACGTTCTCGGCTCCCCCCTGGCCTAGAAGCAGATCTGGGGCAGCGG